GACCGTTGGGATATCAAGGCCGCAGCGGTGGTGTGCCGCCAGCTGGGCTTTGCGCACGCCGTGCGAGCCACCAAGCGCGCCGAATTCGGTGAAGGCCGCGCGCTACCCATCCTGCTGGACGACGTGCGCTGCGTGGGCAGCGAGAAAACCCTGCTGGAGTGCGCGCACGCCGGCCTGGGCACCCACAACTGCGACCACCAGGAGGACGCGGGCGTCGTGTGCAGCCACGAGGACCCCGACCTATAAACGAACCTAGTCTGTCCACTGGGCCGCTCCACCCTGTACATGCCAGGTGCCGGCACATGAGCCCAAGGGTGGAGGTGGCTGTGGGCGTGGTGTAGGAGGTGGCCCCTCACGCTGTGGACGGCGTGAAGTGTGTGCACAGTATTCGCTGTGTGTCCCTGCCCACGTGTCCTCCAGCCTGTGTCCGGGTCCAGCAGCCTGTGGGTATGTGGTCCTGGGCGGGTTGCATTGTCATCTCTGAGCACCACTAGGGACATAGTTTGGCCTTTGAACCATGAGCTCTGAGGGCAACTACCCTTCAAGGACAAATGTGGCCCCTGGCTGCGTTTACAGAGGCACATACAGGGGACTGAGGGAGTGGACCAGGCCAGCCCTCCCACGGCTGCAGTGGGAGGCCCCAGACCAGCTGAGGAATGTGTGGCCTGAGGACTGTGGCCCATAGGGCACAGACGGGTGGCCCAGCAGTCGGGGGTGCTGGGGAGAACAGGAAGGCATCCAGTGGGACAAAGAGCAGCCACCAGACCAATGGGTTCGAGGTAACCCATGGCCCGCGGTGGCCCCAGCAAGGGTCAGGCTGCCTGGGAGGAAGTGAGCCTGGGAAGGCCTGGCTGGGGGCACCGGGTGACCTCTGGGAGAGGCCTCCCAGTCACCTTGGACCTCATGATCATGCTGAGCCCATGTGAGTGCTCTGGGGAGGGTGTTAGGCCACCCAACCCTAAGGCCTGACCCTCACTGCTCCCCAGGACAGATGCCACCTGGCACTGGCTGAGCAGAACTCCCACTAAGCCATTCCCAGCACTCGGCCCCCAGTGAGTAGGGGATTTAGGGCTTCTCCACTTTCAAGGAGGTGTCGAGGCTACTGGGGCCACCTGTGCCATCTCCAGACCCATGCCTGCCCAGTGAAATCCCAGGGAACCCTCCCCTTCCTCTAGCCCCACCCGGGGCCACCCGGGCTGTGGGTCCAGTGAGACTACTGATGCTCTGTCACCCAGGACTGTGCCAACAACATGACCGTTTACACCCCTTCCAGCCTCTTCTCTCTGACCCGTGCCTCTGGCAGGGAGCTGGGGGCGGGTGTGGATGGGACTGGGCGGGCAGCCTCCCTCCCGCTCACAGGCGGCAGTTCCTTTGCCCACTGAGGGCCCTGGCCCTGGCTTGTGCCACGCCTGTGGAGGGGCGTCAAGTCCGGCTGGGCTGTTTCTGCGGGGGGCCAGGGACAGTAAGCAGACTGTCGCTGGGCTGTGAGGACAGGACGTGGCTTGTGTCGGGCTGCGGGTGGGGCAGCCCAGCCCAGCGTGCGTCGTTCAGAGGGGAGCCGGCCCTCGGGGTGGCAGAGGAAACGGCTCCGTGAAGCTGCTCGCCGATGCGGAGTGTGGAGTCCGGCTGCAGGGTCACCCCGTCGGAGTCCTGCCTCCGCCCTGGGCCGGCATCGAGAGTCCCGGCCCTTTGGGCTCCTCTGGCCCTGCTGAGCCCCTCACAGAAGGCACGGTTGGCGTGGCCATGGGTGCGGCCTCTGTGCTGGGCGCCGCCATAGGACCACGCAGCACGCGTGAACGCGTTCAGCCTTCAGAATGGCCCCCCTCCCCTTTTGCAGGTGAGGAATCTAACAGGCACAGTGGTCAAATGTGTCAGTGGAGGGCTCGCAGTTGGCGAGCAGAAAAACCAAGTCTGAACTCAAGCAGCCTAGCCTTACCGCCCGCCGGCGCCCTAACCACTGTGTCCCTGGCTCAGGGCGCAGCCAGGGGCGCCCACGATGGGCTGCCAGCCTGGCTGGGGAGCAGCTGATGGAGACCCCTGGGCCCCTCCTGCCTAGCGCATGGCCGTGCAGCCTCCCACTGCCTAGCGGGGTTGACCGGGCACCTTCCCAGGGGAGGGAGATGCTGAGCAGCGTTAGGAAGCAGTGACTGTCCAGGCCGAAGTGCTCACTGTGCAGCTGGGGAAACGAGCCTGGGAGGCTGTATTCAGGCCTGTGGCCGCATAGGGCCAAGCCGAGACTAGAGCTCGGGGGAACTGGGGTGGCCCCCAAGGCAGCACTGAGGCCTTACCCGGAAGAGGGACCAGAGGTGTCAGGCCCTCTGGCCCAGAATCAGCGGATGAGTCAGATGGGTCGCAGCAGCCTCTGCCGCCTCTTCCTGGGGCTCCTCCATGCGGCCCCATCCCCCAGACATTACTGCGCTCCCTTCCCCATTTCAGGGCCTGGAAGCCGTGATACCACGAGGGGGGCCTGGGACGTGGGAGGTGGGCCATCTCAGCACGGACAGCCTGCGGCCACCCTCTGAGGCCCTTGGCACCTTCCCACAAGTGGCTGAGTGGCGTAATCCAGCCCTCCATGGTGCCTTGAGTGTCTCTGCTGTTTGGGGGGACAACCGGGTCAGTCCCCAGTCTCCTACAGTCCTCTGGACAGGGCTGGCCTCAGCCCGCTAGTCCTCCGGGCAGGGTGCTCCCCTCCTCAGCCCCCTAGCACATCACCCCTCAGGCTCCAAACAAGGCTTGGGCTGCGGCCCGACTCCTCAGAAGGAAGCTGACGGCTGTCTCACCACCGCTCCTGAGCAGTGATGAGTGGCATGGGTAGCTGACATTCGTCGAGTGCCTACATGTGCTAGGCACGTTCTGAAGCTTTACCTCTTATTCACTCATTTAATCCTCGTGTTAACTATGAGGCAGGTGCTGCCGTCACCCCTCATTCTACAGATGTGGAGGCTCAAGCCCAAGGAGATTTAGTTATTCGCTGAATGTCACACAGTCAATACCTAAAACCTGGTGGTCTGGAGCCCCAGCTGTGGGCTATGACACTGTGCTTCCTCAGAGCCCTGAATTTAGTGTTCGCCATTGTCAGGCCCCGTCAGATGGGTTGACAAGTCCAGGGAGGGGCAGAGCTGGGTACAGATTCCCTGTCCAGTATAGTCCTTTGGCTACGTTGCCTGTGGCCAGCTACTGAAGAAGCCTTCACAAGTGACTGTCCCTAGAGATGTCAGTCCTGCCTTAGAGTCCTTCGCAGTCTCTGACGGTGCGGGATGGTCTGGGCCAACGCTCCCCCTGCCCCCTCCAGGCCTCTGCCCTCAACCCCTATAACTCGGCCTCACACAGCAGCAGGAGCCATCTCTCAGGACCTGACTCAGAGAGCGGCTGCCTCTGCCCCGTGTCACACAGCTTAGTTCTGGAGCCCTTGGAGCCCAGTGCAGCAGGGATGTCCCCGGTGTGGCCCAGTGCCCAGTGCTGCGTCTGTGGCACAGCCTCAGGTAACAACATCCAGGCCCCTGACTGGGCCTCATTTGTTCCTTGTTTAGCTGCATCTCTCCAGCCAGCCCCAGCTGGGCCAGGGCGCTAAGGAGCCACCTTTCTCTGGAGATAGGAAAAGCCCCTTGTTCCTGACAGTCCTGCCAGTGGCTGAAGGCCAGCAAGCCAGTGGGCAACTCCAGTTCTGTAAGTCATCCCCATGTTCACACCTTGTAAATATTTGACTGCCAGGTTAGAGACCAGACTTGGATTCCAGACTTGGCTGTGTGACCTTGGGGAGGTCACTTAACTTTTCTGAGCCTTGCTAGAAAACAGGTAATCAGCAGGATTATTGGAAGAAAAAGAGGTAACATCTGCAAACATGTCCAGCTCATTCCAGGTCACTTCCTGGACAGAATGCTCAAGTCAGTGGTGGCGGTGCGCACACCGGCAGCTGCCGACTGCACAAGATAGGACAGGGAGGGGTGCACCGCGTGGAGGGACCAGATGAGAGTCACCTGGGACAAATCCTCAAAATGGGGGGAAGATGAGCCTCTTCACGCTATCACGTAGAGGACGTCTTCTTGTGGGGACATCTGTCCTCTCGCCCCTACTAAGAAATAGCATTAATTGAGCACCTACTATATGCCAGGTGCCTCAGGTGTGCTGGCTCATTTAATCCTCACGATAGCTCCGCAAGGCACCCTTTTTTCCAGAGGAGGGTGCAGGTCCCCAAGGTGGTTATGTAACTCGTCTTGCGTCCCATGTTCAGAGGGTGAGGTGGCTTTGAACCAAAGCCCCCTCCACAGAGTCTGATCTTTCTCCTTCTCTGGGCTACTGTACCTGTCCCCTGCCGGGCCACTCAAGTGAGGGCAGCCACTTCAGCGCCATCTCTTCTGCCTGCATCTCTCTCCACGATTCGTGCTGGGAAACCACTTCCTGTATGGAGTCGTCTACACTGCTGGTTCTCAGACAAGCAAAATCACACAAGCTGCCAGGTCCTGTCAGAGTTTTTGACTCAGAGTCTTGACAGGGCTGAGAATTTGCATCACGATACTGGGTGATGCTTATGTGCTGGCCTAGGGGACACACGTTGAGAACCATCATCTATACTAGTGTCATCTGACAGAAATATAATATGAGCCACATTGGTAATTTAAGTTTTCTAGTAGCCCAGTTTAAAAAGTGAAAAGAAACAAGTGACATTAATTTTAATATATTTTATTTAAACCAACATATTCAAAAATCAATTTAACAGGTAATCAGTATAAATATGTCAATGAGATTTCTTTTACACCCTCTTTGTATTAAATTGATGTGATTCTCTTTATTTTACGCACAGCACATCTCAGTTTGGACAGAAACGCCAGGTTGAGCCATGGTCCCTCCTGTTGACTGGTGCCCCAGAGAATACTATGGAATACCAACTCATTAGCTCTAGTTGGACAGACTTGCGCTCACAGTTGGACCCTGAGGCTGCTCCATGCCTGCCTCACATGAGGGTCTGCTCTCCTTGCCCTCAAAGAACTATCTTTCGAGGTCCTCCCTTCAAATCTCTAACTCCTGCAGCCGTCATAGCCCAGGAGGGGCTGTCTGACCTCCCCACCTCCCGCTCCCTGCAGCAGGGCCAACGGGATGTCTCCTACGGGCGTCTGCGGCTGCTTCTCGCCACCACACGGGGGCGCGGTGACAAGCCACAGTCTTCCAGTCTTACCCCGAGGCCAGTCCAGGTCCCCGTTCCTGGAGGGACGCCCAGGCTGCCTTGGCCCCAGGACAGAAATTCTGTGTCCTCCGTTCAGAGTCCTCTTAAAGCTTGGTCCTCTCTGTCACCCCACAGTCCATACAGCCCTGACAGTCATGTTCTTGATGGGGTCTATCCCTGGCTACACCCAGGAAGCGGGTACATGGGCATTCTCTGTTTTCCAGTCTGCAAACCTCCCCTGGACTGGTCCCACCAGTGGGGCAGGGACGTGTTCTCTTTTCAGTAACCCAGCAGCATCTATCTTTGGGTATGCTCTCCCCAACCGGGAGGATCTTTATCTGGACTAGGAGTGGGTGCGCCTGGCCCTTCCTATCCACAGCTTTCACTCTGGGAGGCCTCCGAGTGTAGAATTGGGAACTAAAAAGCCCAGTACCGGCCTCTTCTGTCATACCCAGATGGGTACGGAGAAGCAGGTTATGCAAGGGAGGGAAGTCTTGGTTATGAGTTCGAGAATGCCTTTTGGCCACGCCGGTCACATTCCTCACTTTCCCTAGAGGGCGACTGTACCCAGATTTTCACCCACTGCAACTCCTGCTCCTTTGGACCTAGGCCAACACCTCGGATAAGTCTTCCCTAGGTCTGGAAGGTCCCTGACTCAGGGAGAGCAGACTCGGGCTCAGCGGAGCACTCTCATTCGCAGACACGGGCCTTCCTGTGTCCCTAGGGTGCTGGTCACCTGCCCCGCGAGCCCCGCTAGGCCGAGGAAACCATCTTTGGGGGTTGGGGGTTCCAGTAAGAGGTTTGGGAACAGTCGGTGTAACACAAGGATTTGGATGGGATGGGTTTTCCAGGGAAGTTTTAGAGAGAAACGAAAGGGCCGAGGTCCGCGCGCGGAGAAACGCCGTTATTTTGAGGAGGCAAAGGAGAAACTAGCCAGCAGGAGTTAGCGCCGCCGCCAGGATGGCAAGTGGGACGGAATCAGGGTTGCCAGGGACAACGCGTTCTGGGCGGAGCTTTTGTTAGGGTGGAGCTTGCGGACTGAGGGCGGAGCCTGGGGAGGCGGGGAGAGGGCGGAGCCTGAGGCTCTGAGCCAGAAGCGGAGTTGTGATTGGCGGAGATCGTATGCTCTGGGCGGGGCCTGGGCTGGGGCGTTATTGGGGTTGGGGTGGAGCTTCAGGAGGCACTGGGAGGAGCGGGGGCGGGCCCCGGGAGCTGGAGGCGGAGGTGGAGACGTGGTTGGCGGGGACGGAGCGCCCTGGGAGGGGTCGGAGCCGGCGGGGGCGGAGCCGAGCGGCGGGGGCGGTGCTGG